CTTTTCACAGTAACTGGATAAGAACCAACAGTATTTATCATGGGTGTAAAATCACCAATAGTGGGTAATTGTGTCCGAATATCCTTCCTTTTAAGTCACAGAAACTCTGATGAATTAATCTGAGAGTGGAGAAATGAACTATTCTGTCTATGTGCCACCTCTTTTCATTAAATGATAAATGATATCTATTACTTGAGCGTTGTTTGAACACTGATACATGAAACGTAACAAAAATGTGTGTGACTGGTTGGTCAGGAAATAAATCCCTGACCCAATAAAATAAACCATAACTACGCTATATTATTTTACCCTAATAGTTCTGTATTAAACAATAATCTCCCGTGTAAAGTGGTATAGTGAACAATATTAAGGTTAGGTGTGGAGTGTTAGGTAAAGAGAAAACGTCCATCGATGAGGTTGTGAAGTTACGTCTATTGAGAAGGCTCTAAGACACGTTGCCTAACCATCGCCTCCCCCGACGGGCATTACTAGTTGATATAGGTGCAGGTTAGAAAAGAGTAAATGGTGGCCAAACAAAAACATGGCATCAATCCATGAAATCCTTGACAGTTAAACTGAGTCAGGTAGGGAGATGCAGACTTCCGGGTTGGGGCCCTCGGGACTCTAAGAATCAATGGCTGGAGACAATAGGTGACATGGCTCAAAATCGTTGTCAATGGCTTACGCAGATGTATTCAGTCTCTGTAATCTTTCATATTCCTTTCTACCATTACTGATTCTGTTTCACTCTTATACTTGTCAAAACTCTATTGATTCTCTTCACTCATTTTCTTGTCTACCTTTGTGTGCTATTTGGAACGTGGCAACTGGAACTGGTGCACTTCGGTGCCAAGTTCTATGTTGAATCCAGCCAGCCAGCCAGCTAAGACACGTGCTACGTATGCCTAGCCATCGCCTTCCCCGACGATCAATGTTAGCTGACTTAAGATTAGGTTGGAAAAGAGTTAGAAGTGGCCAAACCAAAACTTGGCATCAATCCATGGTGTCTTTGATCATTGGTTTCAGCGACGTAGGGAGGTGTCGACTGTCTGGTTGGAGACTATTGATGATATGGCTCGAAATTGTTCTCAGTTGTGCTGATGCAACTGCCTTTTCGTGATCTGACATATCTATTAAATCCAAATGTTTTTGCATGTTATTATTCTTTCTCCCGTACAGTTCTGCTCATTTTATTTCTTTTGAAAGCTTTTTTTATCTACCTTTGTGTGCTGCATTTCTGTGCAGAGTTCTTTGTTGAATCTCAGTCACCAAATATTAAGGTATAATCGACTTTATTGTTTTCATTAACTAGACGCATGAGACCCTCAGAAAACCCATTTCCTATTCATAATTGTAATGTATTTCGGTCATTGACAAAATTGGAAACTTCACTAATAATCTGCTCATACTGTGACTGAACCAATTTAGGTTTGAATTATTCATGTGAATCGGTCACCAAATAGTAATTAATATGGTTAACCTAGTCGTGAGTATTTTAGCTTAATGGCTAAAGTACACATTCGATCGATAGACTTCGGTCAACTCACCTAGTAACAGACAACTACTTTGGTCACCATCTAACAACGGACTCAGAGTTCACTCTATGTCAGCAGATTTTTCCCCCATTCTTTTGCACTCTGAGTGGAACATAAGGCTTCAAGCTTTGCAGTTTCAGTGGCGGCAGTGTGCTTTTTACGGAGTGTGGTTGCTAGCTTCACACCCAACCTGTCTTTACCGGGCTTACTACCGGCTACCTGAGGTTTAGGATTGCGTTGGCCGGAAATCGAACGCGGACAACGTACGTGTTTGAGGATCCTTCTATCATTGAATTGTCGACGTAAACAGACTAGTGAATGCATAAATCTGTATGCCCTATACCAGTTCAAGATTTATTCTTATGTTTATATAGTTAATGATGTATGTGCAAAATTCTCATTTTTGACCTAAATATAACAAGTTTCCTTTTCTTTTGTGTTTCCTGGAGATTACCATCATCTCCTGTATGGATAGATCATACTACTATATGCACACCGACAGTAGACACTAAACAGTCAAATACAGATGATGTCAAACCAAAGGTAAAAGCTGTCAAAAGGACTCGCAGTCACTGGGGTAAACTGCTCCTCCCGTTAACGTGTTGCTTCAAAGGATCTAAGAAAGCGCCTACATCACTAAAAACTCAATCTCGAAACAGCATCGACAATCCTACCAACGCCAATCAAATCAACAATGAGACATTATGTAATACAAATTCACAGTGCAATCTTCCCACAGAAACTCCCAGAATTCCTATTGTAAATTGTAAAGGTGACCAGGATACTCGAACAGCAAGTCGAGTTATACTGGACACCAAATCCCTTGAGTTTTATAACTCAATCCTTGAAAACAGTTCACCGCTACATGATGCAGTTGTCAAGTACTTGGAACAATCCTCAGGTGTCTTGGTACTGGACTGTAAATTAGGTCATTTCTCTCGAACTTCCGCCAGTGTTAATTCTAGTTCAGAATCAGTGCCTGCACTTTGCATTGTACTTGTTGCTACTCAGTCAGAAATAATTAGACGATTATCTGAAGACTGTAACTTACACTCATCTATTATTGAACCGACATCAAAGGAGACCGATAGACCGCTACAATCTGACGAAGTTAAGACAATTCCAGATAAACTTATGCTAACTTCTAAACTTGCAGATGATCTTGCTACAGTTCTTATTCGTGCAGGTGTGTTGCAACAACTAGAGCTACAAAATTTACGCTTATTGACTACATTAGATCCTAAAGAAGTTGAGATAGCAGTGAAAGAACTTTTAGATATGGAAGAGTAAAATTCAATCCAAACGAGAGAGAAGAAGAAGAAAAAGATCGTTGTCTATAGATCAGTTATTTTGTGTAAAAAGAAAAAAACTGTGATATGTTGTCTCGTTTACAGTTGATGCGTTGTAATTATATTAACTATAAAATTTTTTGTTATTATCACTTTTGGGTAAGTCTTCCACAGTTTAAGCATTTTCATTGATATAACAACACGCCTACACTACACAGTCATTGCAGCCTGTTTTTTTATATCTATCTATCTATCTTTCTATCACAGTTACTTTTGGAACTTTCATTCCTTACTTAACTACTGCTAGTCATTGTTGCTCTCGTCTTTAAAAATACTTCAATTGTTAATAATACTCTGAATGCATTTCATTTTGTTTAATTCTCAATTACATATTTCTAAAAACAAGGGTAGATATTAAAAATTTTTACGAGTTCTTAACGTTGTATGAATAAATACGTCAGACTATATTGTTGGTTAGTGTGAAGATCTTTGTATAGTGCAGCTCGGTGAGTATTTTTTTTTGTACAAGAACCACAAGATACAATTCATAAGTCAGATATGCATTCCAACAAGGTAGATGTAGATTGTGATCGTTAATATTTTCTAGCAAAAATGATCATGTATGCATAGGTAGGTATTTACTTCAACCCGAACAACTGTTGTTTTATTCCTTCAAGTTCCCAGTGGAACATAGGGCTTCAAGCTAGAGCTGTGAAGTTCCGGCAGCAGTGGTGTTTATTTTTTTACAGGATGAGGTTGTTAGCCTCATGCCCAACCTCCTCTCTTTCCCGGGATTACTACCGGCCAGGCAAGGTAAATGAGTGCGTCCGTCGGCCGGGGATCGAACCCCAAAGCACATGCGTCGTTGGCACAGCGGTAGAATACTGGCCAACTACGCATTCCGGAAAAGTGTGCTGATTCGTAAGCATTCTTACATTCGGGACGTCCAATATGTTTGTGAAACAGTGAGTCACTTGAGCTTGTCTCTATTTAGCATCTAACCCACTATATAGTTGCATGTAATTGCCTAATTCATTATTCCTAATTCTGTTGTTGGTTGTTTCCGCTTAACTAACAATATCTAATTTAACTTTTTTTTAAATTCTGTATGCCTAAGTTTGCTTAATGAATATATAAACTACCTACATTGTATACCTACATTGTAGTTAATTGGTGGATGGTGACTAGCAGTGGAATCCAGGATGCGCACTTCGTCCTATTTGGGACTCGTTATCTGGATGTATCTGCATTCCCCAGTCAGTGAGTGATGATGTTCCCACCGAGGCTCGAACCCAGTGCCCATAGTTTCAAACGCCAAAGCGTTATCCACTTGGGTCACGAGATAGGACGAAATGCACATATTGGCTTCTACTGCTAGTCACCATCAACCAATTAACTTCTAATTACATGCCCAGACATCGTCGAAGCATCTGCACAAGAAGCCGACATGTCAACCTGAGACCGAGCACTTCGATCCAATCAATCGACGGGAAAATCTAAAATTGAATTAAATAAATACCTACATTGTAGGTTTACATATAATACTTCTAACACTACAAACTAGTTACTGCTACCTTCTGTTTGTTGGGCTGTATGAATTTTATCAGTCCTTACACAGTAAGTATGGTTTATAGTCTGAACCATGAGAAACCTGTGAATCTTGGATATTAGATTGTTGGAGGCAGTCGGCAAGAAGCCTTGGATCTCTTGCTTGTTGGTACTCGTCAGCAAGCAAGACGTATCTACAATCTTCGAGGAACTCATGTCCCTCCTGAGATTCGAACCCGCGTTACCCAGTGTGCTGCAGTCAGAGATATTACCATTGAGCTATTCCTTCAACGTTGCAGATACGCCTTGCTGACGAATGCCAACTAGGTGTCCAAAGCTTCCTGCCGATTGTCTCCAACCATCTAATATCAACAATTCACAGTGCAGTGCATCGTGATGGCGAGTAACCTAATGGCATGGTGGCCACATTGCAAACTTGACTGATAGAATTCAGTCTGCACAGAACATTACACTAGTTACTGTGGCTAGTGTCCAATCAAAACATGAGAAACCTGTTCTTGCGTAAATCAGCCCACACTAACCGACCACTTTTATGTAGTTTTACATTCACAAACTGAATGACTGGAGTATATGAACACAATAATGTATTTTATTAAAAGTATAAAAAATCTGGTTTATAAATACAAATGGATTGTAAGTCTGAAAAAAGTTTCGGTCATGTACAGAAAAAGAGAAAATGAAAAAAGGTATGTATGCATGTATATATAAATATCAAAATGTTTTTATAATAAAGAGAGAGAGTTGTATAATGAATGATATTGCAGTGAAATAGATTTCCCCTCCTCCTCTATTCCATAACGAGAACACTCAATTGTAACCAACTACTCTTGGAAATGTAGTTGCTTTTGTCGGGATAACCAGCTCACGTGCACGTGGTCTATACGAGAGACGATCTTTACGGAAATTCAAATCCATACTACCCAATGTCCCATCATAACGATTTTTTACAACCTAATAGTTTTTTTTTAAAAAAAACACAACAAATAAATAAATAAACTTGAATAATCAGTAAACAATATTATTTGGGATAACTATTATAGTCTGAAACATTTGTAAATACACACATTAGAGGAGGATAAACACAACAAGTCAGTGTTAATGTAAATTACAGTAATTTTGTGTCAATCAATCAATTATGCATGATGACCGTGAGAATTTAAGAAGAAAAGAAACAAATAACTCTATAAGGTCAAAAGAGCACACGTTTGCAATAAAAACAGTCTTTCTCCGTGTAAAATACTAGTTTATACGAATATCAATCCGTGAAGATCATCACATCCAAAGACTTAGTTTTATCTTCATTTTTGCACATCTGGCACATAAAAGTTATCAAATAACCAGTACACATCAATATTATTATCTATACACAAAGCTGAATAGCATAATAAAAACAAGACTGGTGGAATAAGGGGTGTTTTTTTTGAAGGAAAAAAAAGAGGGAAACAAATACGTGTTTTTCCCTCTAATAAATAACGAACGCTATGTGGCTAGTAGACAAAAACAAAAATCCTACAGATCAATCAATATATTGCTTTGTCCTGATGAGCTCTGCTTACTTGAGAGAAAAAAAATGAGTCAGCGTATTGACGAGGCGAATGATAAAATAAGTTAAAAGGTTGTCGTTGTTTTTTTCTCTCCTGCGCTACTAATTTTTCAGGAATTTAATCAAGTATGATAGCCTCGAGAGGAGGGAGGCAAATGAGTATTAGCTAACTCTATTGATCAATGAGGTAAAAAAAAATCAGGTACAAATTTCCTATTGGACCATATGAAAAGCTGTGTGTAGATAGTGATAGTTTATGAGTAGATGTCAAACCTAGTTCTCCTTCTTAACAGTAACTATTGGGAAAAAGAGGAAAACATTAACTGGTTTTGAAAATGTTTTCCATATATCTGGGATTCCTTTCTCTGGTTGGATACATTCGACTGGTCCAAGCTGCCTACTGAAATAAGTATTAAAGCCTCATGAAAATAAATTAGTCAGACATGTTTTTGATTATAATCTTTATCAGGTAAACAAAAAATTTGTCATATTGTCTAACGTGATTATTATCTCAGAGAGGATTAATTCTGTTATTTTGAAAGGAATGCTGTAAACTGGGAAAATACGACTGACTGACTGTAAATGCTAAATAATCAAATATTCAGGCAGAAAAATAAAACTATTACACATTAAAACATTCATTTGTTGGGTATTAGTGTGGCAGATAGTATAGCTAACACTCTTTTTCATCTGATTGTGTCCTCTGAACTGGTTGATTTAATTGCGAAGCTTTCGTTATCCTTCTAGACAACATCTTCAGTGCAAGCTTTAATATGAAATGAACTTATCTGAATTCTCCATGTTAATGTGATATAATTGTATCTCCTGACAAGCTTTGTTGTGATTGTCAATAAAAACGATCAATAAAGATGTAAATTAACCACCAATCACAACAAAGCTTGTCAGGATATCACATTAACATGGAGAATCCAAATAAGTTTACTTCGTATTAAAGTTTGCACTGAAGATTTGGTTTAATAGGACAATTGAAAGCTTTGCAATTAAATCGACCAGCTCAGAGAACACAATCAAATCAAAATCAATCCAACTAAACCTATAAATCTTTCGTATTAGACAATATTGCGTATATCTGCAGTGGGCTGAAAGGTTGAACATCTGAAATTGATCATTCGTCTTTCTCTGATACTGCCTATGTGCATCTTGAACACTTACTGGATATTAAGCATGCAACTGGAGAATAACTCAATACGCAATAAGTCTTTACTTAGTTATATTACATGGGGGATTTCGTCGTGAGCTGACATCAGTTAGAGAACCACCGGAAAACCTGGGACTACTGGACAGCTGTTTCGTCCTAGTTTGTGACTCTTCATCAGTACGCACCCACCGGAATTCGAACCCAGGACCTTCTGGTTACAAGACGAGCTCGTAGACCATTGAACCACAGGGACCCGATCCAATGTTATATTAGTTATATTAGTATAATATCGTATAAAGAATACGAAGACAGCTATCGAGGTATCATTTTTATTATTTTCAGCTCACTCAGAACATTTTATCAATCACTTCCGGACAGTTGTTTGCAAAGATAACTTCTTAATTCAGTAAGCGATCGCCATCTTTTATTTCATGCTCTATATTCAATGAATTAAGAGAATACTACAAATTCATCGTTCATGAGAAAACAAACACATCAACACCGTAAACACTGACGATGGCTTTTTGTCGAATATGACTAAAGAAGTTGTAGTGTACCTTTCACGACTCCAAAACAAATCTAGGGCTTAGATAAATAGATCAGACTGAATCAACTTAATATTGCATAAATAAACGTCTGTCTTGCCTGCGTGTTTTAAGTTTTGTTTTGACGAGTACGCATCCGACCAGGTTTGGACGCCATTTTGCATTCGTCCTTTGTGCTAGTAACACGCAGACACCCTTAGAGTCCTTAGTTCAGTCATACACTAGTCAGATGAGTTCTGAAATCTTTTCCCCAAATAACCTTAATATTATATTCTACTTAAATATGTTGTTGCTCATCAGAGCAAAATTTTAAATAACTCAGTCTTCTTGGTTTCTGTTTTGTTATCAATACTTAAGAGTCTGGTAAGGCTGGTATAGTGTAGTACATCACCAGGACAACCAGTACCTTACAAAGTTATTTTCATGACACATGAGTTACAGTTCAAGTTGTTACATTTCACAATATCATAACGAGAAATAAACAAATTTTCAGAAAACAAAATAATCGATGATAATGTACATATTAGGATCAACATATTTGCGTAACTATTATTGACTTAAGTTCATATAACCGGGATTCTTCAGTTTAGTCACCATTAATTCTTACCGAATTTTACTCATATGTCACTGAAGACAATAGCTGCAGATAGATTGTTACTAGAGTTCCTGGTAATCTTAACCATACAAAAATATAACAATAAGTGACTTTCAACGAGAGAAATCAGAAGAAAGTCACCTCTTTCATCACTTATCTAGGCAGTGTCGTTTCAACTACAGGCGACACAGATGAAAATGTCAAAGCTAGTCAGGATTGCATCGGGAAAGCAAGATAGACACCTTTATTAACCTAAAATCAGTATGGAAATCTGCTGTACTCAACATTAAGAAAAAGATTCAAATCTTTAACACTAATGTGAAGTTAGTGCTTCTATGTGTTTCATCACAAACAGCATTTCCAACAGCCTGGTGTAGACTTTGATTAACAGCTGTCTTTACTCACTACTGAAGATCAGCCGGAAAGGTTAAGCAATATGAAACTCTGGCAGGCAGAGAACTAAGAACCTACTGCTGCCCAAGGTATCCAGAAGGAAATGGAGATGGATTGGATACAGGTTGAGACTGTTGAGTGATATCACACATCATCGAATGGGAAACAAGTTGGGCGTGGGTCCGAGGGTGACAGAGAGGAGATTTCAGAATAGGAAAAATCCCCATTTAGACATTTATAAAGCAAAAGGATTGAGCAAAGGAACTTATTTTAAGGTGTACAATGAATGTTCATTTCGTATTCAATAAAGAATACTATAGACAAACTGATGGTGTGGCTACGGGTTCCCCACTAGGTCTAATCCTAGCTAAGTTAAAGAATAGACCGCTGAAAAGAGTAATTAAGGAGTTGGATTTCTACTGTCGATATATGGATGATACATTTCTGGTTATGAAAAATGAGAATGAAGCAATGAACATCCTCGACAAGTTCAATGATGCGCATTCAGCAATAAAATTCACCATAGAGAAAGAAAGTAATGACAGTATCTCATTCCTAGATATCTTCTTGGCCAGGAAAGAAGATGGAACACTAAGAAGGAGTGTGTATAGGAAACCTACGACAACAGGTCAGTACACTCATTTTTTGAGTTTTGCACCTTTGAAATATAAACGTAACTTAGTAAAGTGTCTGGTTCATAGAGCTAGGATAATCTGTTCAAACGACTCCCTCAATGAGGAGCTTAGGATTATTAGAGAATCACTTAGGAAAAATGGTTATCCAGATAAGTTCATTGAGAAAAATATGAATTTATCACCAAGGAGAGTCGGTATATAGCAACAGCTCCAAAAAACCATTGTTCATATAACTGCAGTTCCTCGGTGACAACATCGGCGAAATAGTAACACAGCACCTGGAGAATGCAGTTTGAAAGAGCTTCCGATGCAGCAGAGGCACGTTGTCTCTTCACTACCACCCCTATTCTATGTTCGAGAAATAAGGATAAACTACCTAAATTTGCCTCTATCTACCAGTTTGACTGCAGCTGCGGAGCCAGCTATATCGGGTGTACAATTAGGCAGGTTTATCATCGTATTTCCGAACATCATCCGGTATGTTTAAGCAAAGAGACAAACAAGATCTATTTTAGCACACCTTGTAGATAGTGAGCATAAAGTTGATGTTAATACAGCATTTAAAATTATTTATCGCATTCCTACTAATCTTAATTTTGCTGTACGAGTTCGTCTTCTACATACAGCTGAAACCACCTGAAGAAGCCCAACCTGTTTCTTCAGAAGAAATTTGTACAGCCACTTTGCTTATCTTAGCCATCGTTACATGAATGTATAAACCGGACTACTTTGCCCCTAAACCTTAAAAATTATAACTGTCCAAATTATTTTATTGTTTTTCCAACTACTTCATCTTTAACTACAAGTTATCATTGTTGTAATCATTTCTACCCTTTAATTGTTTGAATTATCTATCTTGGTTATTATAAAGCCACGTGACATGTTGATATTGAATAATTATTGTTAACAAACATATCGCCACTTGATGATTGGTAAATTGTTGCTCATTGTAATAAAAATGCTATGGATATATATATATATTAGAGTAGAGCCAGAGATGAGGATCTAATTTTGTTTTTTAATTTAAATTTTATTTTAGCCTGACTCCACACAGTACTTTTGATACAGTTATGTAATTTTC